AGCTCTCCTCGATCTCTGAGAGTGTATACGGCGAGAGCTCGAGTAGCTAAGTTCGCGTTACTTGCAAGAGGGGGAAAAATGTAACGTCAAGCAGGGAGCAATTCGTCTCTATACGGCAAGCCAGAGCTCTTTCGGGCGTGCGTTTTCCTCTACCCCCATCTCTCCCCCTCTTGTTATTCACTCTTCCATTTCAGCCTACGCAGTCGTTTTTGCGCAAATAGATTTTTTCCCCCGCTGGTTGTTTGAACACCCATGACTGAGCGTTTATGAATAAATCGTTTCTAGCCTGCCACTTACACATTCACGTAACCCCCCCCCCTTTTTTCGGTTCTCCTTTTCCTCCAGGACTCCGTCCTACACACCACCACACATTGAGAGCGGGGTTTTGTCACCATAAATTCAGTGCTGTTGGTTTTAAGACGTATTTTCTGACTCACCGTCGAGGCGCTGTAAAAGTGGATAACGTAAAGGTCCTAATTAAAAGGTGCGAACCCGGTATCTACTGCTTCTCCGCACGTAACCAACCACCGGCAACAGCTCACCATTAAATTCAACAACTCGCGCGCGTGGGCGCGGAAAGAACGTAAAGTTATTTGGCGCGAAGTAATCGAGTCCATCATCCCTTTGCGCGCATCCTTTTGCGCATGACCCGGGGCGCGCACTCGCGAGCAGCAGCAGCAGCACTGGGCCGCCGCCCCGCCCCTCGGCCCCCCTAAATGGAAGAAGCGTGTCCAAATCCGTCCAAATTTCGGCGTCCTTGGCCGCGCACTGTACAGGGCGTAACATAGCCATCCGCGCCCTGGGAAGGGGCGCGACGTGTGATGGTATGGCATACCGTATTGGCTTTCTCTTCCCCCCTTTATCCTCTTTTCCCACCAACCCCGCTTCTTCTTCTATATCCCTACGAGGAAGAACTCGCCCCCCCCCCCGGTGTGTGTGTGTGTGTGTGTGTTTCTATCCTCACACGCCTCAGGGGATACTGTTCAAAAATTACACAACACGCGAAACTTGTTGTTAT